CACACGGTCAGTACCCTCTTTCTGATGTTCCCTTTTTCCCTGGGAAGGTTTTCCCCCGATAAAAAATGCACCAGGCCCACGTGTGTACTTGTCAAACATTTTATTTGTCATTCACACTAATTATGATATTGAATGTACAGAGGAAACTGTGGTACAAAGAAAGAAAGAAAGGAAAGAAAGCAAAGTGTTCATTAGAACTACTGCAGCAGTCCAGCTGCTCTGGGTAGCTGTAATGAATCCTCCTGTGGGGCTGGACACAGCCATCCCTGTGGACAGCATCATACCCTGGGGTGGCATCGGGGGAAAAAATTCTATTCTCTTTTATTCTATTCTCTTTTCCTATCTTGTTCCAAAAATCAGCAGCCACCCCTGCCCTCCCTCCCCAAGAAGAAAAATCTCTGGCGATCGACCCCAAAATAACCCAAATTCCCTGGTGGTTTCCCCAAAATAACCCAAATTTCCACGGCCTGGTGGTTTCCCCTTCTGGAAAAGTTCAGCCTGAAAGGGAAACTGGGGCTGTTGCAGGATGCTGCAGCCTCTGTTTTGTAAACATAACCAGAAAATGCTGAACAAATTCCCTTTGGTGCCACCCTGATGGGGCTGTGCCCTGCTGTGTCCTCCCTCAGCCTCACCACCTCACACTGAAATTTTGGTTTTAAAAAGAGCTGGAATTGTCCAACTCAAAATACCACAAATAACCCACAGATTGGTTTGGGGTTTTTTTTTTGCACGTTTGTTTCTCCCCCACCACAAAAAAAAAAAGTGAAGGATGTTGGATAGAGACCATGCTATAACTGTTTACAAAAGTGAATAAAATGTAGTTCATCTTGAAGCCTAAAAATAACTAATTGGGAAAGAAAGAAGTCTCACAGTATTTCAGCAAACACAAAGGTAAGTTCATTAAAAACACAGAAAAATCAGAAAAAACRCGGAGTTAATTACAAGCACTAAATATTTTGGCTAGGAAGCTTTGGAAATCTATTTACAGACATAAATACAACTCTGGTGATGCAACCCTTTGGGGACAAGAAGAGGAAACGCTGAGTGCTTGGGACTGCCCGAGCGAGGGTGACAGAAATCAAATGGGGAAAGGTTACAGGGCAGGAAAACGAGCCAGAGTTTTGCTCCAACGACAGAAAACGGATCCACTTCTCCCTGAATCTGCAAACACCCCCTTGGGAAAGGTCACCCAGAAGCAGCAGCGAATGTTTCAAGAGTGCAGGAAATTCGGGACACTTTGGCAAAGGCTCTGAGCCATTTGGAGGAGAGGAATTCTCTCCTTCCCGGCAGAGAATTTGGCATAATTCTGCAAATCAAACCCTTCACAGCAGGGATGCTCTCTGCACCATCTTCTCTTTGCACTAAAGATCCTCTCCAATGCCCTGGGAYGAGCAGGAACTCTTACATGAGTTTAAATCTTGTTGGAGAGGGAAATATTTGTCCTCATAGCCAGCAATAGTCCTGAATTTACTTTGGAGCAAAGTTTGACACGGACAAGGAGTTTTGTCTTGTGAAAGGAGCACCCAAGCTGAGCGTGAGGAGGGCCACGACCTGAGTTTTGGGAGGGCAAGGTACCTAAAGCTCTCTCCAGAGCAGGAGCACAATAATTCTATTTTTCTGATTCCATTCAGCTCCTGGGATGATAAAACTATACAAATATGTCTATTAGATCCATATAAAAATAGATACTTTTACACTCCAATTTGGAGATGGAGATGGGGGAAATGTTTTATCCAAATGTATTTTTTTTTCTGCCTGTTAAATGCTCTTAAGATGCAAGAGAAAAAACACTAAAGCGTTTTCATAGCCTCGAAAAACTTTGCCATCCTTAGTGACGGCAAAAAAACCCCAAATATTTGAGTCAACTGTGGCTTTTTATAAGTGAATACACTGAAACCCACAGTGATTAAACAGATTAATTGCCAGGGATAATGAACTTGGCTTTTCCTTTCCTGTGCAGTGCTGGACATACCCAGACAGGTCGGACTCCAAGGTTTGATTGCTGGCAATAATCACACGGGAAACACTGGGAAATTCCAGAAAAGTGTCAGTGAAGACACAGGGCAGTGTGCTGGTGACCAGTTCTACATTTCCTCATCCTGTTCACACCAGGCAGAGCCAAATTAAAGCTCACCTTTAGGCTAAGGGAGACAAAGGAGATGCACAGACATAAGGAATGTTTGATTTAGGGTCTGATCTCCAGGCTGAGAGAGGCCAACACCCCGTTCCTGTGAATCCCTGATTTTTTCGCTTCCAAGGTGGGTGGATTTCAACACTGGGGGCTCAAAGAGACAAAGGGCTGAGCAGAACGGAGGCCATGGTATCCCACAGGCCTGGGAATGTGGTGACCACATTGACTGACCTTGGTGACCACACTGACCTCACCTTGATGACCACATTGACCTCACCTTGGTGACCACACCAACCTCACCTTGGTGACCACACCAACCTCACCTTGGTGACCACACTGACCTCACCTTGTTGACCACATTGACCTCACTTCTGCCACTGGGCTGAACTCATGGAATCATCAAATTGTGGAATTGTTTGGGATAGAAGGGACTTTAAACTCACCYAATGCCACTCCTGCCATGGCAGGGACACCTCCCACTGTCCCAGGCTGCTCCCAGYCCCAATGTCCAGCCTGGCCTTGGGCACTCAAAGGGATCYAGGGGCAGCCACAGCTTCTCTGGGCACCCTGTGCCAGGGCCTGCCCACCCTCCCAGGGAACAATTCCTGCCCAATATCCCATCTGGCCCTGCCCTCTGTCATCTCAACACCATCCCCCTTGTCCTATCACTCCACGCTTTTGTTAAAGTTCCCTATCCAGGTCCTTCCTGGCCTCTCCAAACACCTCTCCTGTCCCTCCCTGCTGTGTTTCCACGCCCTGCTTGGTGCACTTTGGTGGTCCAGTCACAAGGCAGATGTGAGTGCTGTAATCAATTAGGATTTTAATTGAGAGCTGTAATCAATCAGAGTTTGAGAGAATCAGAGGGTGTACAGGATGGATTCTGCAGAGACCAGAGCTGCTGCTCAGTGATGAAGGACTTTTTATTTTAGGCTACTGAAGAAGTGAGAGTCCAGCTGTGGAAATGCTGCAACAGGTGGGTTCCATGCATTTCTGCATTCAGCAGGGTCTCCAGACTTTCAAAATACATTTCTGATAGAATTTGGATGTTTTCTGCCTTTTTTTTTTTTTTTGGTTCAAACTTTGGACAATTATAAAGGATATTCCATTAAATGAAAAACACATGGCCATGCATGAGTTTTAACAGAAACATTTTGGTCTTTTGCTGAGATCTCTTGAAACACTCCCTATTTTCTGCACAAAAATGACCTTTTTTCGACAATGTAAATTCTTCAATTCGTTTCATACCAAAGTGCTACTGCATCCGACTTAAACAAAGAAGCAAAATCATATATATATATAAAAAAAGAGAAAACTTGAAAAACAAACGGTTTTAAATAAGTCCAGCTGTTTTGCTGCCTGCAGCCAAGGATCTTTTTAATTTGAATCCTTTTAACTTTTTTTTTTTTTTTTAAAAAACATCAAACACTGATCTGAAGCCCTGCTTTCAAATACTCTCTGCGTTGACCCGCAATTGTTTCTCCGGTTTGCGAGGTACATTAAATAACAATCAGCTCGTTGGGGACGCACACGTGTCACCGTCAGCAGGCTGGATTTTAGGAGTAGTACAAGAACCGTGCTCGGAGGGAGCCCTCCAATACAATAGTGCCATGGAGGTTACAGTGACATCTGATATGTTGGTGCTGGAGTGATGGGCGGCCGTGAGAGCTCCGTGCTTTTGGGAAAACCTTGTAGGTTTACTACAGCCTTTAAATACCCTTTAAATACCTTTTAAATACTCTTCYTCTTTGCCCACAATATGGAAATTGAAGGATTGGTCAGGCCCTGGCTTTTCTGGAGCTTTCCAGACAGCCCTGATAAATTTTCCAGCAGAATGGAACTTCCAGTGGCTTTTGTGCTGCACAAATTCCTGGCTCTGCTGGGCCGGGAGCATATCTCACCCAGATTCCCTCAAAGCCATGTGAACCACAGAATCAAGGAATGGTTTGGGTGGGAAGGGACCTTGAAGATCATCCAGTGCCACCCCTGCCATGGCAGGGACACTCCCACTGTCCCAGGCTGCTCCCAGCCCCAATGTCCAGCCTGGCCTTGGGCACTCAAAGGGATCCAGGGGCAGCCACAGCTTCTCTGGGCACCCTGTGCCAGGGCCTGCCCACCCTCCCAGGGAACAATTCCTGCCCAATATCCC